ATATATAACTGAAGTAATTATTTAATTAACAAACCTAATGTGAGGTTGTTCTATTATAAGTAAATATTTAGAGACAGCAGAAGTGTCAAAGTGCGCCAAAAGAGGCGAACACCCTCCGCCCCTCATGCAGCCCCTGAACCTGTCCGACTGAGAGCTTAATTTATCATGCAGAGGCACCAGCTGCAGCTCTTCCTACTTTCCTCTCCACCCCCCCCCCACACACACACACAAACATACAAAGAGTCAAGACAATTTAAAAAGAGTGAAAGTGTAAATAAATTGCAAGTAAGATTGGTCAGCAAAGAGCACACGGTGACAGTTTTTCTTTTGTTTGCATCCAGTGCCTCCTCTCAAACAGCATCAATGAATTGTGCAACAACTATCACTTTTCCCAGTGACTGAATAAGAAAGCAGTTCTACTCACATCATGAAAGATATTGAGCCCCTGTCCGGGGCTGTGCAGCGGCTGCTGCTGCTGCTGCTGCTGCTGCTGAGCCAGGAGATGCTTCTGTTTGGCTGACTGCAGGCACATGGTGATCATCTCTGTACAAGCCAGCATCTTTGAAACGCGTCGAGACACACTTTAGGAGAAGTCTGAAGTACAGAAGCCTCGGGAAGCTGGAGGAAAGTGAAGAAGATGCTGTTGGGGAAGAGGCAGTGCAGGTGAGAGAGAGATGGGGAGTGAGGGCGGGCAGAGAGAAGCAGGAGGAGACTGAAGGATGCTGAACCGAACCAGCAGCCCCTCCTGCTGGAACCGCTCTGATTGGTTCTTTAATTAAACAGAAAAAAAAAAAAAAACAATTATATGAATAATACCCCAACTTTGAACAGAGTTAGATGTTTTTTTTTCTTTTTTTGCAGCAGATCTTTAAACAAACATGTAAATAATCTCTTACATTAACATTTTAAATACTTATAGAGAAAAATATCCCTGTTGGATCTCTGTGTTTTTATACTTTTTGTGGTGAATTGTGTGCATTTTTCTTCAAGTTCCAACTCTCTTTGTTGAAGATTTGCTTATTTTTTTGTAATTATGTATTGTAGTAAAATCAAAAAGAACAATCAGCATCAAATGCTGATTCTTTACCTCCCACATTGTAATTTTTCAAATAGATTTTTTTTTATGAAACCAACTTAATAAAACTCTTGCTTCTGTCTATTTTGTGTCATTCACTGCCTGAAACTGGTCATTTTGTGTCTTTTTGTGCTTGTTTTAATGCACAAATGTCATTTGTGAGTGTTCATTGATAAAATCTCCATTTTGGGGTGCTTTATTTTACTTCATCCCATTATCTTTGCTTCTTCATTTCAGGGTCACAGTCTTATATAAATATATATAACCTATGAAATCTCAAAAAGTAAGTAAAATTGTCCTTTCTTCTATGAAGAACGCCCCAGTCAGCCAAGTTTGGACAGATGCTGACCTCTGCTGGATATTGTGCGTCATTACAAGTCAGACATTATAGGGAAAAACATATTTTTTTGAATTGCAATCCATTGTGGCTTCTGAGCTGTTTGTTCTTTCTTTTGTTCATGCAAATTCTTAAACAATAAGTAAATAATTAAAGAAAGACGAACTGTCAGAGTTTGGTGAGCCGATAGGAGGAGCTGGCGATCGTTCCTGTTTGGTTGGAACAGACAGTTTCACTTTCCGTTCTGTCGGCGGCTGGGAAGCGTGTCGAAAAGGCAGCAAAAAAAGGGGGAAACAAACTTGTCCGCAAATCCCAGGATATAATCTAAAAGCACATAAAAGCAGAGTAATTTCGTCGTCAGTTCGCGGGGAGGAGGAGGAAGTTGGCGGATGAAGCAATCAGAAGAGGTTGGGATATAAAAAGCGCGTTCCAGACAGACAGGTTTGGTCACTGAGTGCTCTATTTTGTTTTACTTTTGATTCTAGTTGTGATGATGGCTTCTGAAGTTTCACCTACAAACGACCTGAAAGATGGTAAGTTCAACAATCTGACTCAAATTTCGTTTCTATTCTTATTTTAAAGTGAAAAACTTGATGTCAGGGTTTTTTTTAATGATCGATTGCTTTGACTGGAGTGTCACAGTTTGACAGATCAGTCATAATAAAGCAGAGCTTCTTAAGTTTGACAGAATCAGCTTCAAGCTTTCATGTATATATTTTATTTATTTATTTTTGCTCTTGACAGAGTGGAAACCGTATTTGTCATTTGTCCAAATAGTTCCTAATGTGCAGGAATGTGTGATGATGATGATCAGGCACGTGATCCTGTTGTGTGTTCACGCAGCGGAGGACCTTGCTCTGTGTCTGAGTGAAGCCCTGAGCAGTGGAGACTGTGAGCAGGCAGCCCAGCTGTGTCAGAAGCTCTCTCAGCTCTCTGTGTCCGTGTCAGTCAGCATCCACAGCCAGGTCTACCCCCAGGAAAACATCAGGTAGGTAACAGAATGTGTGTGCTTAGTTTTTATTACCCTTTTAGGACCTTTCCTGTTATACACACCTACCTTGTCAGGATCAGTAGTCCTTATGGGGACCTAAGCCCTGTTCTAATAAGGTGGAACATCATTTTGAGGTTAGGTTTAGGTTGCATAAATAACTGGATTTACTACATGGTCCTAATAAGAACAAAAACACAAACTCCTGTTTGTGGGTGAGACTTCTCCATTCTGAGTGCCGTCCCAGTGCTTGCTCCTTGGGGCAAAGGTTATTTTTTATTATCTTTATATTTCATTTATGGACAAGAAAAGCATGTTCTCTTACCGGTAACTTAGAAGAGACATTTTTATCCTTTTTTAAACTAAATACAGTTTTAAAAAAACTTGGAAAATTTTGACTTTTATAATTAAAGGGATCCACGATTAGTTGTAACATTCAGCTTTATTTGATAAACATTTATTTTAACTGTAAAATAAAGACTGTAAAAATACTGTAGGATGTTTAGTTTTGTAAATTTTTTCAAATGTATTTTAACACGGACAGAGCCATTTTATTTACAGGCAAAGCATTCTGGGTAAATGATGACATCAACTAGGTCATTGGTGCGAGGCTGCTATGGAGCTATATCCACCCTGAAGGTTAATCTTGGACGATATCTGATGATCGACTCTTTTAAATGAAACCAGAGAG